ATATTGCTATACTTAGGACAGACATTCAATTTCAACTCAACACTGCATAATTAAACACTGGATTTTTGTGTATTACTGCATTTTAATAGCAAAATATTCATTAGTACATTTTATATTACTAAGTTATATAAATTATATTTTTTATAATTTAGTGTAAATATACAAGTTTAATGTTGTCACCCAAATTAAGATGTTTATTCGTTCAAAAACTTGTTTTTGTGACAGAAAAATGCAAAAGTGATGTAAATGATGTGAAGTGATGTACATCATCATATAGTTATATTAAAAAGATATTGTCTCATTTAAGTAGCTTTAAGTTAGTGTTGCAAAAGAGCAGTTGGACTGTGGTTTTGTTGTACTTTAAATTATGAGTCTGGCAGTCTTTCAAAGCTGTTTCACAGAGGCAGACACTTTTATTCAGTGTTTATAACTTCACATGCAGTGTTTCTGAGAGCACTGAGAGCTCAAAATCCCTTTTGAATGTCCTGAAATGTTTTATTTTGATAATAATTATTTTGAAGTCTCGTATAGAATTAAACGGAGCTCTGTTGTGATGTAATGGTGCAGGGCCAGAAAACTCCAAAAACCTGGTCATTATGCAGTCACTCCCACAGACCTCGTCTGAGACAGATTCTCTTCACTCAGCAATATAGGGATGTTTACTGCATGGTATAATTTCGGTGACCTTTTCAAATATTTACTGTGTTAATAAAAATGAGGAAGTAAATAATACTGATTTGCCATACATAGCAAATTAGAGCTACTTACAAATGTCACAACCAATTAGAAAGAAATTATGCATGAACATATTTCAGTTTTATAAATAAATCAACACATTTAAAGAGACAGTACACCCAAAAGCTTAAACTAAGGTTTTTTTTTTTTTTTTTGCCTACTTTGGGTACTTTCATTGTATGCAAAAGAGCAGCACAAACATTCTACAAAATTTCTCCAACAAAGACAGTCATATGAACAGATATGTCATTTTTGACAACTATTTCTGCAACAACAACAGCCTAAATAGCATAAAAAGTTTTCCAGAATTTCTGCCCAAAAGGATGTTGGCCAGATCGCTCAGTCTAGTCATTATTTAACAAATGATCCATCTGTTTTCTTCAGTAAAAGCAATGACACTCCTTGCAAAGGAAAGCTGGACCTGATGCAGGGTAAAGCGATCTGATTCACCCTGAAAATACACTAACCCAAGTACTGCATCCCTTCATCAGTCTATAATCAATATTCATGAGAATACATACAGTACACACTCTCCATGTGTTTGAGTCAAAAATGACACTTACTACCATAAATAAAAACTTAAAAAGATGTGCAAGCTAGCAAGTTTAAACAGCTGCTGCAGTAAAAACTCATGAGGGTTTGTAAAAAAAGGTTATTTAAAGAGCTGTTTTGACTTGCATGCTTAGCTCATCCTCATCCACAGCTCTACCGCACACCTGGTATAGTTGGTGGTTTGACACAAGACCCCTCCAAAACTCAGAGACAGAAGAAACCCCAAACTCCACACAGCAGTCAGACGCTCCATGCTCCTCAGCATTGAGATCCACATACAGATGCAGCCACAGGACACATGACACGGAGAGGAGGCGGAGGTTTTGAGGGCGGGATGCTGAGGAAAGAGTAGAGGGAGTGGGAAAGTGACGCTATGGGGGGGGGCCTAGCAAGGAGAGGCTTTAATTGGAGCCAGATGTTCACCTTGGATTGAATAACAGCCTCATTGACTTTGGCCAAGGGAAAAATTCTGCATCAACAAAAGCAGGAAAGGAAAAGAAACAAATGCAACGCAAACTCTGTGTGCGGGAGCCACTGAAAATGAATGCCATTCTACTTGATTAAACTAGGTTGTCAGGTTTTAGGTGTGATCTGCAGGCTGCTCCATCTGCTATCAGGAAGCGCTGTATATTTTATTATCTCAACTAGTAAAATGCTAATAGCAGCTAGAGAGTCACAGTTGAAATGTTACTTGTCAGCTGTAAGTGTTATTATTGGGAGCATCTGATATTCTCATTCTAGAGAACATATGAAATGACACAAATATAGAATGGAAGTCTGTTTCCGCCTCAAATTATTAAAAAAAGAATCTATGTATCTCACAATTGCAACTTACTCATAATCGTGACTTAATTTATTTTTATTTACTCTAAGGCAGCAACTAGCTTATAGGAAATAAAAATGAATTATGCACAAGACCAGCAATGTGCATTAAGAAAATAAAAAGGGGAGTTTTTTGAACTTATTAGAACTTAAAGAATGTATTATTCATATACAATTATAATATTTATTACTACTTGACGCTTTTATTTTTATATTTTCAGTTTATGTTTTAGTAATTTTTTAACATTTTTACTATCTATCGGTCTATAGATAGATAGATAGATTTTGATAGATAGATAGACACAATTTTATTATTAAGTAAATTAATTTTAAGTGAATTAAGTTTTTCATCTAATATGAAATAAAATAAAACAATATACATAAATATTTATTTTAATGAATTAAACCCATTTTTAATCGTTTTCATTTTATTTAACAATAACAACACTGATTTCATGTTTTTTGAGTCATGAAAGATGAGTTGAATAATTTTCTGTTGTAAATCAATAGATGCTGTCCATAGAGCTTGACTTGTATTGAACCCAGAACATTCCTTTAAGATTAAAAGGCACTTCTGGTTGTAATTGGGATAAGCAACCTCAGTCTTGTGAACACATTCATGCTCTATCTGTATCTGGTCAGAGTAAAGGGAATGAGTCATGTTGTTTGAAGAATTGACCCTTTATGGTGTTCTGTTGTAGCTCTGGCCTTTCGATCGACATTCACATAAAACCCAGATCACAGCAGATCAGCAGTTCTCAAAGGATGAGGACATCTAGTCACCACATTTTAATGAATGAATGAAGGAAAATATCTACAGTAAACCTAAGCATTGTTAGCAAAGTACAAAGCCAAAATTACACAGTAATGAAAACACATTTAAACTGTATCATGTGAATCCATTGTAGATGCTACTAACTGTGTGTTGTGCTTGTGCTCTCTGGGATGTGATTGGAGTTGTGATGACAGGCAACAGCACAAGAATGTGGTGACGTGGGACTTTGCTGGGGGGTGGAAGGAGCGTGAAGCCTGGCTGACGGGTGAAGGGGGAGGGAGGAGAGGAGTGGTGTTGAGTCAACAATGGCTTGACGACCTGGAGGAAGGTCAAAGGTTTGAGTATTACTACAAAAACAATCCATTAAACTGTATTCTTGGCAAAGGGATAGGACTGAATTAGAGACCCAATGAGAAATGGCCCAAGTCTCAGTTGATTTCTCATTGGGTCTCTAATTCTGTCCTATGGTGGGGGATGTGTCATTTATACATGGAGGTCTTGAAGTGGAAAAAACATACTGGAATTTACAGAGATGCAAGTCTTTTGGGGGAGGTTTCGCAATTCAGATATTTCATCATTACATTTAGCAGTAGAACATGAGTTTATGAAGATGAAAAGTATTAAGTATGGAAAATGTAGGAGTAGTGAATTATTATGCACGGACATGTTAAACAAGGCTACAACAAGACTTTTTAAAGAATTAAAAGTCTGTCATTATTTATCCATCCTTAATGTCATTCCAAACCTGTATGCCTTCTGTGAAATACAAAAGGAGATATTTTGAAGAATGTTCATGCTACTCTTTTTCATATAATAAAAACCTGTACCATTACAGTTTTTCACTGTATAGAGTAAGGACATTTACTCTTAATCAAACAGGTTTTATCATCAAAATTCTGAAAAATGTTTGTTTTACACTGTACAATTGCTTTGTCTGAAGAACATGTAGAATTTTAGTAATTATTCACTGAAAATTTTACCAAAGCTTTTAAAATTCATTAGCTCTTCAGAAATGTCAAACTTATGTCTTAAACTAACTGTTCAGATACCAGATTCAGGTACCATTGGTGTTTAGTGTTATTGGTGTCAAATATGGCACAATGTATTGATTTTTAAGGTGCTTTTTGGAGCTTGACAGCTCCTGGTCACCTTTCACTGTCACTGTAGGGAAAAGAGCAGCATGAACATTCTTCAAAATATCTCCTTTTATGCTCAGTGGAAGAAAGAAAACGGGTCTGGAATGACACGAGGGTGAGATTTCTTTAAAGGAAAAACTCTCACAAAGAGTTTAAAAGTCTGTTGATATGAATGAAAAGTGAACTGCCATGCAGAACTGACATTACTCATTACACAAACAGCTTGTTGGGATGAAACATGCCACTACAGTCATCTCCTCTCTCATTATGGTTTGAATAAGAAACAATCTATCACACAATGTCAACAGCATACAGTTCCCTGCTTCTTTTTTCTCCATCTCAGGTTTTTCAAAGAGGTCTATGTAAATATTCACAGAGATTAACTAGAAGAGTTTACAGAAACCTGACAGTTTTGCTATTCTGGACAGTTTGAGATATGGAGACGAGAGTCATGAGACAGTCTGAACTGCATTCTTGAGCTGAGGGAAACTACAGATTTAAGCTTAGGAAAGTCGGCAGAGAAAGTGGAATGCTCCCTTTCTCCTTATGTCGCCTTGCTCAGACACAAATACACGCATTAATATCAACAACCTGGGCTGTGAAAATTGTTTGCCTTTGGAAAATGAAAGAGGAGTCAAAATCTTGGAAATATTTGTTTTGGGTGAAGATAATTCAAGCAATGTGAAAACAATTGTGGATGTTGCTAGATATGTTACTCCACCCTCTAGTGGCTAAGAAAAACAATTCAGTCAAGTTATTGAAGAAAAACTCACAGGTTGCCAAAACAGATTACTAAAAACACATTTATTTATGTTCAAAGTAAAAAAAAATAAAACTTACAAGAATGTTTAAGTAAAAAAAATGATTGACTCCAGGTCCAGCAATTGTACAAAATTCATTTCCAATTCCTGCACATTCAACAGAAGCTTTAAACAGAACAGTACTGCATGTAAACTGATTGGGCCAGTCTGCTTTCACAGAAAAGCTTTGAAAAACCCTCGCAAATAAATCTGAGGGCAACGGGGAATAAAGGGAAGTAGTTGTCTTGTTTTTTAAACCATAAATTAGGTTTATAAATAATGCAGTCCTGCATTTGTTGTGGAACTAAACAAGACACTAGCTCATCTGAGAAGCTTTAAAATATAATTGTATCGCTCTTAAAAATAAGGGCAAATGAACTGTCACAACAGAGCAAAATTCTCTGCCAGACAATTATTTCCATTTTATGGACTTCAAAAGCTTCTTAAAATGTGTGCAGTTATTCAAAACGGCACACATCAAAATACATATTTTACATTTTCTTTTTTAAACCATATCCTGTTATTCTGATATGGACAAATAAATACATCTTTTAAGGCTACTAGAAAAGAATGGGGTTTGTGATGCTGACATGATGGACCGAAACAACATAAGTGCAAGAAGAACGCAAATACTTTTAGCACACAATCGTAATTTTGAGCGTCATTGCATTTTGAATGTCTAAGGCAGCAATTCAAAACCACAACATAAAACAAACATTTGAAGGCAACTCGCCTCCTTGAATACTGAGGTTAGTTACTTTCACTGTAATGCAAAAAAAAAAACAAAAAAAAGTACAAATATGTACAAGCTGGACAACGACTTGCAATGTTTTGGCAATTTGTCTAGAAAATATTTCTGGCCTATCATGCTTCTTTTCCACCAAAATACTTTGCGTTCTGGTGGCAGACCCAGTTCTCGGCCAGGAGAAATAAAATGCAAATTAACCAACTGAAAACCAACGTTATTACATTGCTCAATGAGACTGTCAAAGACGTCAACATTTCCCTAATGCAGGGTTCCTGGTTACAGACCAGCAAGCTTTTAGGGTCAGACTGGAACCTATTTTTCCCATCCACAATTTCCGGGAACCTTGTGGAAAGGTTCGAGAACTGACACAGACTGGAAACCCATACTGCAACAGTGTAAGTAAATAAAAAAGGCAGAGTGTCAGACCACATCTAACTTCAAACTTGTGTGAAATTAAAACATAAATTCCTCGTCCCGTTCTATAAAGCTGTAATAGGAAAAGGTCACACGGTGTCATGAATAATTATGAAACAGTGCATGTCATAGGATAGATAATACCATGCAAACTCATGAATAACCTGAAAGCAGAACATAGTGCAACAACAACAACAACATCCACCATGTGCAATAGGTTGACATTCAAAATGTGCTCCTATAAGCTACGAAAGTTTTTTGTTCCCTTCTTCCTTTTATTATTCAGAGGCCTGCTTATAAAGCTACAAATTATTCGTAGTTTTAAAGAATTATGTAAAAATGAGCCATACACTCTGATTATAAAACTTCTACCCTTTCAACTTGGTCCAAATTGAACTTGGTCCCAAAAGTCTATGAGGCAGGAACACAACCAATCACTGTCCAGCAGTCTGCAGTCCCGCTTCACCTTCGCTGATGATGTCACTTCCACCTCCTCCATGGCCCACTGCTAAGTGCTTGAGCTGGTCTGATGGTCTCTCGGTTCATTATCAGATGAAGGTGGGCTCAAGGGAAAGGCTGTTTCAGCTGTGATAAGTTTATCTTGTTGTTTGGCCTCTTCTCTCAAAACCATGCCGAGAGCCATCTCATGAAAGTCCAAATCGAATGGAGTAAGAAACGAGGAATCGGGGGGGGATTCACATCCTGTGCAAGACTGTGAAGAAATGAAATAACTTGCACGTAAGATACATACAATAGCACTACTGCATGTTAGCATGCTGCTAAGCTAACAATACTTTAAACAGCATAAAAAATATTGAGTAAAATAGTAATTTTTAACTAGATTTAACTATTTTTTTTTCAATATTGTTCAGTACACTACATATTTAGAGTTGGCAGAGCTTGTCGCAAGGCATTCTGGGTAATTACCTCATTTTTTAAAAGATACATGCAGTGAGAACTGCAATAGAATCTGCACAGAACTAGAAAGCAGCGGAATTTTGGTACCTACTTTCTGAAATAGCCTTTGTGTTTTTGTTAAGAGCTACTTACTGTAACATTGATGGCCTTTGGTAGGCAGCCGGTTTGAAACCAAGGGTGGACCTGAGTTAACTCTTTCTTCTGCTCCTCAGTAAAATGAGGCTGATGCTTCTGAACAGCTTTTAGGGCATCTCTATCTTCTTTCAGTACTGATTCTCTGTCTCTGTACACACACACACACACATACAAATTAATGTCCTCTTCTGGCCTAGTTTGTGCTACACTAAAGTATACTTCTATTAAGTATACGAATTTGTCCAGTGAGTCATTTATATTCCCACCAACATCACATTTTAATTATGATATCCAAACTCATAATTAAGGACTTTAACTCAGAATTAGTTTCACCTCAATCAAGTACACCAGAACCAAATAATCAAGGTCTTTGGACATGATTTTTGCTATTTGTAAATAACAGGCAAAGGAGTCAGAACAGAGTTGGAATTAAACTCTTAGAACTAAGTTTGCTTCGATAGATTTCCAGGAGTTGTAGTCAAAACAAAGCCGATATTCATTTAGGTTAGGCTAGAATGCGATTGGGCTACTAAGCAATCTGGTAAAATGGCCTTACTTGACGGGAATCTGGTATGTCATCATGACTTTGTCATCCGTGTTCGCCATGAGGAGCCAGATGGGGTCCTGTAGGACAAACTTTATGAACTGTTCCCCTCCAATATCTTTAGATGCTGGTTTATGATTGTGATCATTCTCTGATGAGTCAATGCTTCCAAAGTACTTGCTAGTATTACTGCTCCCTGAGATCAAAAAGTCCAAAGAAAAAAACAGGCATGGTTAAAAACAACCAGTACAATTCTTCAGGATTTCTCCATTTATGTTCCACCACACAAATAAAGTCATACAGGTTTATAATGATATAAGGATGAGTATGAGATTTGTGTGATCTATAACTTTAAGAATAAAGCATTCATGAGTAAATTACTCACTAGTGCCACTTCCAGATGTGCTACACCCATTCGATCCAGATCCAAATGACCCTGACCCTGATGACCCGGAGCCTGAGGCAGCGGAGCCGGTGCCCGAGCGGGAATCCTCTTGCAGCAGTAGGTCCAGCATGTCACTGGAGGTCGACATGGCATCCTGGTTGGACTCATTGACTTCAGACTAAAGGAAGTTAACTCGAAGTTAGCAAAGAAGCTAGGTAATGAAAAACAAATGAGTTTTTAAAGGTTCTTAATACTTACACTGTCATTGAGTTTGCCATCTTTGGTGTTGCTGCCATTGCTGGAATTTTGCACCACAGTCCCGCCCCCTTGTGTTCCTCCTGGGGGTGGAGTCTGTTGCATAGTGTCCGTTCTGTTGCTTTGCAATTCCTCAAGTTGTAAAAGATTGAGTGGGGAGGAGCATCGGGATTGAAACAGAGGAGATCCAGACCCTTCCCTCTCGCCAGCCTGTTGCCCAGTGGACTGGGGTGTGCTGGAGCGAGACTGCCCATGTGGCGCAGTATTGGTATTTACTGCTGGCACTGATGGAGAGTTGGGGAAAGTGAACAGGGGATTTGGGTTGTAGAATTGCTGGGGAATCATTGTAGGCATGGCAGGATTCATTTGGGAGCCTAATGGATTGAACTGTCCCATTGCAGGATTGAATGACGGTAAACCAACAATAGAGGAAGGGAACTGGCCCAAGGGGTTCATTTGGGCAGGCAGTTGCCCAACAAGCTGCGAGTTGGCTGGGTTCAACTGTGGTCCTGTATTACAGAGTTGTGGAAACATATAGTTGGGCAACATGAAGGTCATGACTGGTGGCATCACTGGAGGAAAGCCTTGCATGGGGAATCTAGGGACTCCCTCTTGCAAGGAAGGATCTGTTCCCATTTGGGGAATTGAGAAAGGTGATGAAATGGGGAACATAGGCATGTAGCCTGGGGGAAAGGAGGTCATCATGGGAGTACCGCTAGTCTGGGCTGCCACAAATGGTGGCCAAGAAGTGGAAGATTGCTGGACTGAGGGGAGGATGGGTCTTATTGCTACAGGATTGGATCCTCTATAGGGGCTAGACCCCGAGGGGGAGGGACTGTCTGGTGTGTTGCCATCTACTTGGTGTTTCAGTCTTTTCCCTCCTCTACCATGCCGACAACTTCTGCTGTTGCCCACAGAAGGATAGTTCTGGGAGCTGTTCACTCCTAGACGGCACAAGCCAAATATTAAAGGCGAAGGTAAAGAAAGTAAAGATGTTTCCAGGGGAAAAAAACTAAATTAAGTGCATTTTGCTTAAAACAAGTAAAATTATCTGCCAGTGGGGTAAGTAAAATATTTTTAAAACAAGAATTTGTTTTAAGCAAAATGCACTTAATTTAGTTTTTTTCCCCCTGGAAACAAGACTAAATATCTTAAGTCACTTGGCTTATCTAGTAAAAGTATCTTGATTTAAGAATTTTTAGATATTTTGACTAGAAACAAGATAAAATACTACATAAGATAAGCCATTTTTTGCACTGAAATTCAACCTGTGAACAACTCTACAATGGTTACCTTTTGCCCCAGGTGTAGACGTGTGTCTGCACTGTGGAGGCCCGCTGGGTTGGACCATATGCAGATGGCTGATGTCTCCGAAACAACCGAGGAAAGCTTGCTCTTCTTGCTGGGTATGGGCAGATAACACCACCTTTGTGAGGCCCTTCCCTGTATTACCTCCACCTCTTCTCTCCTTCTCCTTTTCTTTCTCAGGAACAGCAGCAGTGGGGGACACGGCCTGCTGGGGGTTCATGGGCATGGGAGAGGTGACAGAGGTTGGCGGCTCCTCCATCATAACAATGTCTGGATGTAGATCAAATGGAGTAGATTGTTTGCTTTGAGATTGCAAAGTCTGTCATTTAATGGAATATAAGACAAACCATGAATATTGTGCACCCTTAATTTACAGAGAAAAGAAGGTCAGGGAAAAATCTGTAGATGGAAAATTCTCCATAAAAGTTCTTTGTGCATTTTTCTTTTTTCTACTTTGCACTTTTTTGTTAGAAAATGTTTATTTACTATTTATTCAGGTTTTTTAAGGTATCTAAAATTTTGATACTTAATTTCCATGATCTAAATATTCTTAAAAATGTAAAGTTTGTTGTCATTTGGAAGTGTGTAAGCCTTCTTGCATTATTATGCTTTTATATTATGATTATATATTCAGTGGCATAAAATGGTCTTTAAAATTACAATTATATCGCTTATTGCAATTATTTCTTGGGCAATATATCGCACAACAAAAAGTTGTTATCGTGACAGGCCTACATGTATATAGGTCAATTACAAGATTAGCCTGGAAAAAGTGTTCAGACCTGATTCAGGCGGCTTCTTGTCACCAACGTGAACAATGGTGCTGCTAAAACTACACAGGGAAGTGGCCGAGACAACACTTTCAGCCTTGCAGTGCAGAGCCAGAGGGGTTAGGGGGTGTGCTGGTGCTGCAGGGACAACCTTCGAACCCTCGGTCACCACAAGAGTCTCTGCTATGTCTAAATGGAAGAGTGAACTTTAATTCCATACATTTACACACAGAACATACACAGTTATTAGCTGATACTGAAAGAATACCAATAGTGGTTGGTTGTATGAGTCTGCTTCTTTGTCTCTGACTTTCTGAATACTTATAAGATGTGCTGGGTGAATATCCCATTATCCTTTAGCAATCCTTTACTGACCTTCAGCTGCTCCAGCTCCTTCCCTTTGTTTATCATCATCAGAGGTAGAAGACGTGGTACAGGAAGATGAACCACACTTCCTCTTCACTGTGCCAGGGACATTAAAGCTCTCCAGATATCTGAAAAAAAACAGTGAAAGAATGAGACCATATATCCAAAACACACCCCTTACATACTATACCTATCAATTATTATTCACCTGTTATTAATCTTCACCTGTCTTTTCTCTTTTAAAATAAGATGGAATTGGAGAAATAAAAATAAAAGCACACAAATCCTTTTAACTGGTACAGGCGGACACACAGACTCACCTTATGATGTTGTCCAAACAGTTGATCTGCTGGTATGAGTAGGGCAGCTCCTTCCTGGGTGGACTGGACAGCGCTAAACTTGCCAGACCTTCTCTAGCAGAGGCCTCTGCTGTATCTGCTGCATTTGCCAGTGCTTCTAATATATGACAGGAATCATGTCACTTCAAATGTGATAACAAACATGTGACCTCAGGCTAAATAGATAAAGTCAGGTCATTATTATTGACATATCAGCAATGTTTACCTAAGCTACTCTGTTTGAGAGCTGGTGGCCGGTTTCGGGAGTCAATGAAGACCTGCTGTCCATTGGCCTTTACCATGTGCATGTCTTGACAAATCTGCTCAAACGTCATCTAGAAAGAAATGAGGAAATAAAGGTTGACACATTGCACGTTAGTGTAAGTTGGTGTTTATTTCATTATGTAATGTTCAATACTGTTATGTGTACATCTGAACTGAAAAAAGATAAACTCCCTTACTGGTTTCCTGGGCTTGATCTGGTCCTCGGAAGCATGTCCGTTACTCTCAGAGGAAGTGGCGCTTTGCTGATGCTCGTGCGAGCCACTGCTGCCCAGGCTGCCGTACCCCTGTGAGCTGCCGGCATGAACGGGCTGCACCAGGACCCTATGGATCAGCTCATTGAGCTGTGGTACATCTGGGGACATGGTTCTCACCTCCCCGTCCTCCAGGGCAGTGAACACGTCCTCATTCAGTGGACTCCTACAGAAAGGAAGGGATGGTAGACAGGTTTTGTGGGACCACTTTAGGGGTTGAATGGATCGTAGTTGATCCATACGGTTCAGCACGCATGTGATCCGTGGATTAATTGCAAAATTTCACCATAATAGAGTGAAACGTGTTTACACACTCAAGCGATTTTAAACCATTCCAGCGCAAGAGGCGAAAGAGAACTTGATTCGCTACTCACGCGCTGTTTTCTATGCGCACAGCCGCGCATACAGGAAGAGAGGCTGTTAACTTGTCTTTAATCATGTTTGAACTTTCTTAGGCTAGTAGTTTTTGCTGTGATATCGAAGAAGTGCTTAGCTTTAAGTAATAAATGGAAAGCAAAGTACATTGAAATATCTTGTTTTCTTGCCGATCCAACAAAAGATCCGATCCGTGACTCAAAAACCGTAATATGATCTGACCTGTGAGTTTTGTAATCCGTTAAACCACTAGACCACTTAAAAGTAGATATCAGGTTTAGTTAATGAGTATGTCATAAGAGTGGCTGCCAGAGCGTTGCTATGCGGTTGATTAGATTTAGATTTTTTGTTTTGTTTTGCTTGTTTGATTGCTATATAAAGTGCAGCCACTTACGTTCGAACTTTGTGGCGTCCCACTATGAAAGCCACCTTCCTGCTCCAGGGGTTGATATAGGATGACCAGCTGGTGTCGAGGGTCAAGTACTCCCCACTTCGTGCACGCATGCGCAGGGGCGAGTGGTCAAACGGCTGCCCTGCAAACTGGAGAACTGATGAAGGGAAACTATATCAATGAATTCTGCTGCAAACATATACACCATTGAATCGTGCCTGTATCCAGAATGAGCTACTCACTTTTTTTGTGGATGGCCACCATAAGGAGTCTATCTTCTGGATGCAGGTAAATAAGCACCGGCTTCCCAACCAAGTCCTGAGGCAAGTAACCTAATAATGGCACTGCCCTGCAAATGAGAGCAAAGGAGGTTTATGCAGCTGTTCAAAAGAGACATAGAGAGTAAACATGTGAGACAGCTCTAGGCAAAAATGCAAACCTTTCATCAATCTCTTGGAACAGACAGTTTGGGGTGTGACTGGTGGTAAAAATTCTCTTGTCTGCTGGGATACGAGGTGCTGTTAGGTAAAAATACGGAAACACATTAGAACAGACACAGAAAACAAGAACCAAGTGCAAAGTATGCTTAATCAAGTGTCATATTACACTTATATAAGGGTGATTGATTTTTCAATTACATGCACGTTTACTAGTGCTTTCAATAATTCAACATCATTTTCAACATGCATATTATTTAAGTGTTAAGATTATACTTTCATAACAGTGAGACAGTTTCAGATTTCTAACACACTAAGTAAACTACCAATCAAGTTTGGGGTTGGTAAGATTTTTTTAATGTTTCTGTAAGAAGTCTAATGCTCGACATGGCTGTATTTATTTTATGCTACTTAATATTTTTGTGAAAACATCATTTATATAACAAGTTTTTACTAGTCCTTGCTGAAAAAACATTCAATCCAAAAAAATGTAAAATCCTACTGACCCCAAACTTTTGAATGGTGAAGTATTTGACATTGACACAGTCTCGTTTTACCCTCGTAGCCGGAGTGAACTCTCTCAGCGATGAGGAGGCAGCAGGGCTCAGGTTGGGATGTATCGGAGTCCCTCAGGGTCAGCTGATATGGCGTGAGACGGAAGGGGTAATACTTCACTTCTCCATCGCTGTCCCTACCTCTGCTGATCCGACAAAACATCGACTTTTCCTCGGTACAGTCCGCCTGTGAGGCTGTACACAAATGAGGCTTTAATAAACACTCATTTTCCCAGCATACATTTGGGCAACCTTTAAAAAAATAACTACAAAATGTAAAAAGGTTTTAAAAAAAAATGTTTTTACCATTATAGCGCATCCTAACTAAGTGAATTTGATGATTGAAGAAGTAATTTTTCAGTTGTCTATAACAGCGAAATGCTGTATGAAGCAACAAAATCACAGCCAATCACAACATTTTTGAATATAACTCAGATTGTATTAGTCTGAAAGAAGAAAAACATATACACCTAGGATGGCTTGAGTAAATAATGGGCTAATTTTCATTTTTGGGTGAACTATCCTTTTAATACATTATTAAAGTTCTTATTAATATTTTGAATTAGTTTTATTTTCCATTTTCTTTTTCATTTTAAATCTTAGTCATTTTGTTGTGCATTTTTATCCGTTTTTGTGTGTTTTTTATAAATATGTCTGTATTTTGAATCTGTATATCTGTTTATTTCAGTTTATTTTTAGTTATTTTAGTACTTCACTGTAAATTAAATGGAAATGAGACATGTTGCCTTATGCTGCCTTTTTTTGTTTGTTTGATTTTTACTTTTTATTTCATATCAGTTAATGTTCATTTCTTTTTAAGTAACAGGAATACCTTTTTGTCAGAACAATGGAAGATGGTTTTGGGAAACCTGTTATTATATTCTGTTACCAATTCCATTTGGTACCAGTAGGGATATAAAAATTCCATATTGCACCTTTAATATACACCTTTGTGGGACACTACTTTTGACCAATAAAGTTTCAGTACTATACCCATAAAACAATATGCCTCAGAAATATACCCCCATCAAAATGTCTTGCAGTGTGCCAATATAAACAGCTGAGGACAAAAACATGTGCCTGGCAGCTTTATAACAGTCTATGGCGAATAAAACGATCTGTAACTGATTTACAAAATGTACTGTGATCTCTGCTTTGTTGCTATATTCACACAGTCAATATACTTCTACATACTAGTGCCTGCGCAGGAGGACCACGGCGGCAGACGACAGGGAGCGGAGCTGCTGTAAAATGTGCTGACGTCCTGAGGTGCGAGCAGCTCTGAAAAAACGGCTCCCTGAAGTCTCTCGGGTTTACAGCGCAGCAGAGAGGCCGCCTGGGATGAGATGTACACCACTTTACCAGAGAGGAACGACACTGCCACAGAGAACGTGTCCTAAGATAGAACAGAGAAAGAGTGAATGCGTTAGATTCTTCTGAAGACTCACAACCGGATGTGTATGATTAGGTAACTTGTCTAGTCATACCGTGTTTTGAAGGGTGTACTCTGACGTAACGTTGTCTAACTCTTCAATAGTAAACGACGACAAGTCCAAACAACACCCATGACTCTCTTCCACACTCCACTGATGGTAGTATTCTTGATTAGCTACAGATGAACACAACACACCCTTTTATTGGCACACACATGCTGGTACAAGGAAATGCAATTTAAGTTTCGGTTTTCTACTCACCCCGGACTTGTTTGACACAGTTAAGTGCGTACTGCAAGGAGGCTAGGGTGCTTGATCGCCTCTTCCTGCGCCATTCTGCCGGCACGCGGATCTTTAGCTCACGCAGGGCTTTCAGCAGCTCTCTCTGGGTCTCCAGCCGGGCTGGCTGGTCACCGCTGGGTGCTTGGGACGTCGGCTGATCCTGCTCCGAGCTGCCACTCAAAAGACTGTATGAAACCGAGCTGCTAGGAGGGGAGGGACTGTTTCCGTTTGAGCTGGGGAGAGACATTTTAATGGGTGAAATTAGCCAGTATTTCTAATACAATTTATTTATCTATCAGAAAACAGGATTTCACATTTCCAATTTAAAAATTAAATAATTTCATTTCAGCAATGACAAGTTCTAAAATACATGATTTTGGAGCTGATACTAGTTCTGGCCATTTCCGTCAATTAGCCAATCTGGCACAGTTATTGTCCGATAATCTTAAAATGAACATGACCAAATACCAGTCTTGTTCCTAAAAGTTACTGCATGTACTATGCAATTTTAATCTGCCCCAAGTGAAGCGTCATCATGCCAACGCCTCAACCAGTTCCAAAAGAAAAGGTTTTCGGGAGCAAGCTAAACCAAACTCCTGCAATTGGTTTATTAAACTGGATGTGTGAGATATATATAGGTCAGAGCTCCTCAGGCATACACATTGTTTTTTATCTCTTTGCTGACTAAAGTGGTTCAAAGACAAGTAACAGGTTTACACTCATACAGTTGACTAAGATTTGTATCCATAATGACTCTGCATTGCAATGGCATTCAAGCTATTTTATCTGTATATATGTACATCCCCCAGTTTAAAAGTTTGGGGTTGGCAAGATTTTTGAATGTTTAAAAAAAAAAAAAAAAGCCTCTTATGTTTACCAAGGCTGTGTTTATTTGATCAAAAACTGCAAAATATCATTACACTTTAAAATAGAAGTTATTCCTGTGATCCAAAGCTGAATTATTCCAGGCATTAATCCAGTGTTCAATGTCACATGATCCTTCAGAAATCATTCTAACATGCTGATTGGTGCTCAAGAAACATTTCTTATCATTATCACATAAAAGTCATTTTAAACAGATTTCAGTTTAAATATCACATACCTCTTGCTTTCCGTAGTCTCTGTGGTTGAACCCTTTCTGTTGTGAGAGCTGCAGGTGGATGTTTCTCGTCCCATGTGTCCTTCGCTCTCCCTCTCGGCCGAGTCATTCCCGCTGGAGTGGGCATCCATGTCATACGAGTGTGTCAGCTGGGGTGCTGTTGAAATGTCCAGCCTGGGACAAATGGACTGGCTGTTGGTCATTCCAGGAGAAGTATTGCTGTGGGCTTCCCCTTCATCCTTATATGTTGTTCCCTTCCCTCTATGAGCGCCATAGGTCACTGGTGTTTGAAAGTTGTCATTACTCATAATGAAGCAGAATAACTGTATATATTATCTGTCTTGTGCATCTGTAAGGGACCTTCTGACAGAGCAGGGCATGGGAACTCTTTGGTTATCCTAAATATCTGCTGCGCTAAAACATAGGTACGGCCGAGAAACTTTTCTTTGTTTGTCCTAGATGTTTCTGCTTAAACGTCCTTAAAGTTGCAAACCATCTGGTGGGAAATAATAATAAAAACAGGATAAGCAACAATTGCACACCTGAAGATATGAAGAGACATGAAAAATTTCAAGATGCACACAGAGAATAGTGAGTTCTGTCACACATTGTATAAATGTTGAGTGTTGCATTTTAATCCTGGCCTATAATGACATTAAAGAACCACACTGATGTATTTACATTCACTTGTTTTGATACAGTCATTATGATGCAGTGTCCTTAAAATAATTATATTTGATGTTCAGAGCCATGTACTTAACACATTTTAAAGTGGGAGGGTCAATGAAAAAAAATGTATTATACGTGACATATTATATAGCACACAGCATGCTTTTCATTTTTTGTCCTATTTTGTGTGTGTGTGTGTGTGTGTGTGTGATATATAAATAATTTCAGCAATGAAAAGTTCTAAAATGTCTAAAAAAAGATCTGATTTTGTATATATATATTTTTTTTATTTTTATTTTTTTTTAAATATGTTTAAATGCTGAAAACGTCTTATGTTTACATTTAGGATATAGATTCAAACTGGATTTCAGAAAGAAAACAGCACATATCTCCATTAGAACAAAGGAAATATTGAACTACCTAACTGCTCATTCCTAAAATAATCAATGCGTCACTTTTTTTTTTACCAGTGACCCGAGCAACTATGGCAACATAATTGTAGATAATAATTTTAATCACTAGTCTTGAAGTATCTGAACAATGAAGCTTCTGTATGGCACAAAAGAAAGATAAAAACCACACATGCTTTCATGGGTAACCTAAAAACACTAGATGTGTAGGAAGATGCATATGACTGAGCTGTTTTCAACGTTTCATGAAACTGAAATATTTGTAGGTTTCCCCCTCCTGATGTATTGTTGTTGTTTTTTTCTGTTTTCACCTGTTTTGCTGACCCTGACAAGTTTCAGTTTTCAATGCATATACCACCAAGTAAGCTTTTTAGAATAACACTATAAATTTATATAAAAAAGAAAGTTATAAAGCCTTTTATTTTATTGAAATAATCTCATTAGTTTTGAGACTCACTAGTCTAGTCCTTTACCTATGATCTGACTATAATAAACTTAAATACACCTCATATAGGGGTTTAGATGAATGCGATCCCTCTATCTGTAGAGCCGTGGAATTACTGACATCATACAAACATTGAAAATGAGATGTATTTTGATACAGCCATGCACATTACATCTTTTAAACAGATAGTCAAGTTATTGTCAAAAATACACTGGTATATAGTACAGTCAAAGGACCATATTTTACTGGTGATCAGACATCCGCAGTGCCATCAGGAAATAACAACAATATAGACTAAAAGCTAAATGTTTAACGCATTTTCTTTGACAAATACAGATTCAAATGTAATTCATACAAACGATGTAAGACTATGACAGCAATGATACAATTATTAGAACAAAAAGCAGCTTTTCTTACCTTATAAAAGTATTTCAGTTGCTCTAAAGTGAAGTTTAGACTGCTTTTCAGAGCTTGTACACGGATAGACGCATGTGCAACAATATAGCTCAGTACTGCAGCTCGGGTCTTGTCTGATGTTAACCCGTGTACGGAGTCGGACACCACCATCAATTCTTGCTATGGGAACAAATTTCACGTGTACCGAGCAACTCCCGAAACCATCTCTCATTGGCTCCTAACCTGCCATTACCCCGCCTGCAAAGCATAAACCCCGCCCCTCAAAGAGAAACTCGCGCTGCTATTGGACATGTGGGCAGGGCTACGAATGCTCGGCGCTGCTTTGTCACGTTGTAGAGAAGCCTGCATCTGAATTGTGTGGACTTGAGGGAACAACAAGTCCTAATCTGCCCTTTTCCAAACCGTACTAACTGCTGTAGAGGCGCATAAGGGTTTTTTTCTTATGCTATATAAGACTAATACACTGACATTTTTTAAATAAAAGTCAAATAAATAAGGCTATGATTCTGTGAATAATTACGTATGCGTAGTTGAAATGCTACCGTTTGTAACTGCGCGTCTTTTTTTTTGGTGGTTACATCTTCAGCGCAGGTTGGGAGTCGCATGCTTCGTTCCTCGTGTTGGAGCGTATTGAGCGTGTCCGTCCACCTGCCGCTGACACATGAGAGCGTGTGAGGGCCATGCCAGCTTTTACTCTGTCTCATATTGAAGATTGCTGCTCAAATATACGGTGGAAGTTGATCACAGCTGGACACACGTGTTAAGTGCTTTGAACACATTGCAACCGTGACAGGATGCTATTACTTAGAGGAGTTAATTATTATTTGCAATTATTAATTTCACATTTGGTCAGTGTTTAGGCTGACTATGACATCATGTATCATATGGTAATAAAATGGCACGGGATATTACAGTCAGCCAGTCATAAACTCTGGCCGAGTGATAAGATTTTTTGGTAACGCTTTAGATTACAACCCGCAATGTACTGCGTAAATAAACAGAATTTACAGCGTAACTTTTTTGTAATTACAGTGTACCTATTCAGTACCTCCGTGTAGGTATAAGGTAACAATATGCGAAGTTTGGAGAATAAAGGAGTAATAATCTGTAAAATTACAAATTATTTCTACTGTAAGTATTTTGAAACTAAGGGGTACCTATTCTACTATTACAGGGTATGTATGACCTAACTTGATATCAGTTATTATAATAACCCGATGTTGCTGGGTTATGAATGTGGAGGACGTGAATGAGAGCATCGCAGCAAGTCACGTGAGTTCAAACGTGAACGGATCTGTGTGCGACGAAATCCGTGACTGCGGCGCTTAAAATGGGAACATGTGTGGAAAATAGGAGAAAACTAATCGAAGCGCAGACGAGGGACAACTTTGAAACTGTCTGGAGTGTGTTCCTTTAAAACTGCA